GTTTTCATTGTGTTCAATACAAAATCTTCTTTATTTCGAGAACGGTCGAGATACAGCATTTAACAAAGAATACCTTTTTTATGTAAAACACTTCACATGGTCTAAAAATGTTCTCAAAAATGAGATGTAATCAGTGACGTAGAAGTTACAAGGTGAAAAATGAAGATATTGTCATTTTTCTGGAATATATGGTTTTCCTTTTTATCTCAAGAACGGTTGGAGATACAACTTTTAACAAATAGTACCTTTTTTGTGCAAAATACTCCAAGCACTCTATAATTACTTTCAAAATTAGAATATATTCAGTGGCATAGAAGTTACAAGATGTAGAATGAAGATATTGTGATTTTTCTAATTTTTATGATTTTCAACACAATATTGCTTTTATCTCGAGAATGGTTAGAGATACAACTTTCAACAAAGAGTACCTTTCTTATTTAATACACTCCAAGCAGTCTATAAGTACTCTCAAAATTACAATATAGTCAGTGGCGTAGAAGTTACGAGGTGGTAAATGAAGATATTGTCATTTTTCTGGATTTAATGGTTTTCAAGACAAAATTTCTTTTATTTCGAGAACGGTTGAGGATACAACTTTTAAGAAAGAGTACCTTTTGTATGTGAAATACTTTGTACAGTCTAAAAGTATTCGCGAAGATAAGATATAATCAGTGACATTGCCCGTTTTTAATTTCTATTAAACACAATATCTCTCTCAAGTTCTCTCAATAAAACTTTTAGCAAAGAGTAAAATTAGTACAATAATTTACGCCATCTATCATTAATTAACTGAACCTCCAAGATTAATTATTTAGTCACATCAACCTCAAATTGTTATTTATCTTTCAAAATTTTAACAAAATTTTTTAATAATGTCACCTCCACAATCAATAGGTACAGATTTTAAATCAATTGGAAGTAAACTTTTGCGGTCGCGAGCTCGCGAATGTTCATCAACATCATCTGATTCTTCCGAATCAATTTTTCTTCGTCGAATAGACTACGGAGATTCCAATAGTGTTCGAAGTAACAGCAACAGATTAGAGTTAGAGACTCGAAAGTTTGAAATTATGATCGACACGGTTATTCTGGCCGACCGAGCACTGAAAGATGTTAGAGGAAGTTACAGCAAGTGTATTGGAGTTAAGTTACGATGGAGATTCATGGATAAAGACGCGACTACGAGGATCGTGCAAGTTTGTGGTAACGAAATTCCTATTGGCGAATTATACACTTATAATATCCCTATAAATGATTCAACGTTTTTCAATGAACGCATCATTCATTTTGATGTTTTTGCGATTTATCCGAGTAAAGAAAAATTGGTGGGATTTAGCGAGTTAAATTTGTGTGATTGCTCGGAGAATTTAAACGTACATCTGGGAAAGTGCTTGGATTTACTTTGTATTAGTAAACATAAATGTTGTTCGGGAAGTAAGATGAAGAATATTGGGCGATTATTGATTCAATATAAATTAAATAAGAATTGTGAGAGTTCTATTAATAGAATTATCGTTAATTCTTACTCAAATTTGCAAAGTATTCAAAATGAGGGGATTAAAAATGAGGTGGAAATTAAAACTTCAACATCAAATTCTAAAAGTGATGATAATCAAGAATATCTTTTCGATCTTTTCCCGATTTCGACCACAAATCAAATTAATTTAAAAAAATCGTCATCTTCAGTTCCAAATATTCCAATAAAATTGTTGTATCAAACCCCGATTACGATTATCATAAACTCGTTGAGATTTAATGAAGATTTTGGGCAAATTTTAAAACCAAATATGACGTATTACATCGAATATTCGTTTTTAGACAGAAAAGGGCTTGAAACATTAAATTTTCCTTTATCCTCGGATTACTCAACGATTTTTAACGCAATGACCACCTTCAAATTCGATATTAAAAGAAACATAAAAGATTACAGAACAATTTCGAAAATGATAACAACAAATAAATACATTAAATTTATCGTTGTTGAAGAACCAAGAGTTGATCTCAACAAAATCCCGATTTGTTTCGAATTGGGCTACTCAAACGTTTATCTCTCTCAAATAAATTCGAAACGCACAAACGAATATCCTTTATTATCGATGAAATATCCCCACGAAAAAATTGGGTTTTTAAACATTGAAATAATCGGTTTAAAAAATGTAATCGATTTCATCGAAAAACGACAAATTCTCGGGATAACGCAAGAAAAATCGAAAAGTTTGGACAGTTTTAAAAGGTCGGAGCATAAAGAAAACGTTGAAATTGAAATTGGTGTTAAACCAAATGACGAAATCCATCAAGATTTTATAAAAGAAATTGAAGGTAACTCCTTAAATCTAAAAAATACTTTAAAAGTTACTCGAGGAGATTTGATGATGAATTTGAACGATCATAATAAAAAATCTATGAATACAAAACGGAAGAAAGTTGAAAGAACTCGATTAAATAGGCGATTTATTAAATTAATTGGTAATGATTTTAAAAGGAGTGTAGGGGAATTAAAAAAAAATGAGGAAACTAAAGAAAATATGTAGTTGTGTACGCCACTGATTAAATTTTAACTTTAATAATATATATGAATTGTCTAAAGTATTTTATACAAAAAAGATACTTTTTGTTAAAAGTTGTATCGTTCTTGAGATAAAAAGATTGTGTATTATGACAATATCTTTATTCCGCATGCTGTAACTTCTACGCCACTGACTATATTTTAACTTCGAGAATATTTTTAGACTGTGTGAAGTGTTTCACATAAAAAGGTATTCTTTGAGGAATGTTGTATCTCTACTTATTCTCGAGATAAAAAGATTTTATGTTGAAAATAATAAAATTAAGAAAAATTGCAATATCTTCTAACTTCTACGCCACTGACTAAATCTTAATTTCGAGAATATTCTTAGACTGTGTGAAATGCTTTACATAAATAAGGTGCTCTTTATTATAAGTTGTATCTCGAACCGTTTTCAAGATAAAAAAGATTTTTGTTGAAAACCATAAAATCCAGAAAAATGACAATATCTTCATTTACCACCTCGTAACTTCTACGCCACTGACAATATTGTAATTTTGAGAGTATTTATAGACTGTTTGGAGTGTATTAAATAAGAAAGGTACTCTTTGTTGAAAGTTGTATCTCTAACCGTTCTCGAGATAAAAGCAATATTGTATTGAAAACCATAAAATCCTGAAAAATGACAATATCTTCATTTACCATTTCGTAACTTCTACGCCACTGACTATATTGTAATTTTGAGAGTATTTATAGACTGTTTGGAATGTATTAAATAAAAAAGGTACTCTTTGTTAAAAGTTGTATCTCCAACCGTTCTCGAGATAAAAGAAATTTTGTATTGAGAACCATAAAATCCACAAAAATGACAGCATCTCCATTTACCATCTCGTAAGTTCTAGGCCACTGACTATATTCTAATTTTGAGGGTATTTATAGACTATTTGAAGTGTATTAAATAAAAAAGGTACTCTTTGTTGAAAGTTGTATCTCTAACCGTTCTCGAGATAAAACAAATATGGTGTTGAAAATCATAAAAATTAGAAAAATCAAAATATCTTCATTCTATATCTTGTAATTTCTATGCCACTGACTATATTCTAACTTTGAGAGTATTTGTGCTGTTCAAGTAACTTTTTGACAAACTTTTGTTCATTCATTCAATGTTCATTGGAACAGAATCCCAACACGTGTATCAATTTCGGTGTCATTCCATTGAGGTTGAGCGTTAAGCTGGGTGGAGTAGTTTCAGAAAAGCTATTTTTAGATGGATGATGGCATTACCTCGGCTGGTCTACGAGGACATGGTCTTCTTCATGTAGTATATGACTGAAATGTTTGAGTTTATACCAGTCTATGGGGATCACTTCTGAATCGTCCAAATTACGTCTTACCTCTCATAAGCAACAATTTTCCAAAAATGTGTTGTAAGTTGTTGGCGTGGTTCTTTTTCACAGTGATATGTTGTTTATCAAAGATTGCATCAAATAATATCGATGAGCTGAAACACCGTAGTGGATGTCTTTTCAAGATGTGGCAAGCTGTGGCATGCTGTCTGTGCCAAAGAGAAATTGTTTCTGCAAAGGGGTGGGCGAAAGGGTTGTACTCTCCAATAGATTACTTTTGACGACTTGTTGCTGTATTCCTCAGTTTCTTGCTGAGCAGCATAAAAGATGGTAAGCTGCCATAACTTCTTTTCTGCATTTATGTTCCAAACTGAGGTTCAGCAATAGAACCATCAATATAGGAAACTCACTAATGTCAAATCAACTGCATATTAGCTATGGAAATACTACGTTTGGAGAAGAATAACGAATCGTAATTAAACCTGTATTATTAAATAATACAAGACCCTAAAAGAGGGTTCAAAGCCCTCTTTGGAGGAATTAACACACAGCAAAAAAAAACTTCTCACTTCCTGATTACATGGCAGATTAAAACGATGAAATTTAGAGAACGGCTCTCTACCTGATCGCGGACACCTGTTAGAACACGCCTTTTTCGTCGCCCCGGAACGTTACCGGTGGTGGCCAAGCGGCATATAACGCGTTCGCCCCAGGAATTAATGCGAAATTGAAATTGATTCGCGTTTAATAACGGCCTTCCGCCTCGTTTCGCCTGCATAATTCAACCCGCTTAATTGCTCGCCACCCGGTAATGGTCGGTTAAACTTTAATTTATACGATTTGTTGTTTCGCGCGCGCGCCAAGAACCCACCACTAACCGCAACTTCTTTTCTTCTCATTAAAATGGGAACCTTGCGTGAAGGGATAATCACGGAGATCGTAAAAATTTTTCAAACCCTAATGAAAACGCTTTCTTTATAAAGTACCTAAGTAACTAATTTTACTGGTTATTACTTGTTTATTTACTGTTCTTTTTATTTTTTGATTAATTTAATTTTAACATTTAAATTTAAATTTTATTTTTTCCCGCCATTACATCTCGTATGTGTCAAGACGCTCGTTGCTTAGCAACGTAAGTGACTTCTCTCACAACAATAAATTTGTGCGAGAAAATTGTTGTTGTTAATTTTGTGCTGTGTTATTGTGACGAAAATGGATAAGAAAATCGGGGAAAATAAGCAATGCGAGTTAACCCGCATGAATGTAGAGCAAGAAAAGGTGGTTGCGAGTACTTCTTGCGAAATTGAAGCGGTTCAAGAAGTCGTCGGGGAATCTAACCTCATTTCTAAAGAAAACGAAGGTGAACTCGTTGATATTGAAAGTTTTTCGATGGCTTCTACTGCAAACGTATTGTCTCTTGTAAACAGAGCGATTAAAGATTTAATTAATTGTAAGGTGAGAAAATTAATTATTTTTAATTGACCTTGAAATTTTCATTAAACTTTTTAATGTCAAATGTCCCTAGTTGCTGTCATTGATACGTCAGTGTTGACAACCTAAAATAAATGTTCATTCAAATTTAATTGGAAGCAGATTTTTTATAATTAATTTTTCTTTTTTAAGACGAAATTCGACGTAAAATTATCAACGACTGAATTAAAACTGGAAGAAGCCACCAAACACTCCGAAATTCTTCAAAGTCGTATTGATGAGCTTAATCAAGATGTTGGCGAGATGGAATCACGTCGTGCTTTACAAAATATCGATATTGAAATGCTCAAGGAAGATTTTAAAAACGTCCCGGAGGTGATAAAAGTTCTTAACGAAAAATATGAGGAGGTTGCGGTACGTTTAAACGAAGCTTTTGATAGGAAAAGACGTTTTGATGAAGAAATGCGTAAACTAGATCTTGAAGAGAGCTTAATGAAGACGCACTATCAAGAGAAAAAGGAAATATTACAAAGAAAACTTGAGGAAAAGAAGGAAAGTGTTGAGAAAAATCGAAAGATGCGACAAGAAACTTTAGATGAACAAAAACGTTTATTAATTGAGGCTAAAAATGCTCTTAAAGAAAAACGGGATGAAAAAAATCAAATTTTGAGTCGTATTGAAGATAAAAAAAGGAATCTTGATGATATGGAGTTAAAAAAGTCTGATTTGGAAGATAAAAAGAGGGGGTTAATTGAGGTTAAAGAAAAAGTTAATTTAAAAAATGAAGATTTAAAGTTGAAATTGGAATCATTTAAAAATGAATTAGAAATAAATAAAAATATGTTAAAAGAGTCGTTAGAAACTCTGAATGAAACTAATAAAGTTTATGATGAATCAAAAAAGCGATTAGATGAGGAAAAAAATAAAAATGTTGAACTCACAAATATAGTTATAAACAATAAAGAACAATTAGAAACCCTTAAAATTGAGGGGCAAAAACAATTAAGTCAATTAAAAGAAACTTGCGAATCTTATTCGAACCAAATTGAATCATTAAAAGTAAACCTTGAAAATGTAAAAGATGAAAATGAAACTTTAAATCAAAAAATATCCACTTCCAAAACTACTTTAACCGAATTACACGAAAACATTTCTTCCAACAAATTAATTCTTGACGATCTCAAAGCTAAAGCTTACACTGATTCGGAACTTTTCGCCTCAGCTCTAGCTGACCTAGAAATAAATAAACACCAATTAACCGAGTTAACCAATTTACTCGAAGATTTACAAAACACCCACGCAACTCTTAAACAACAGTACGAAACCAAAAAACACAAATTTGATCTCATGGAAAATGTTAAAAAGGAATTAAAAGAAACCGAAGATTTCACCACGAATCTATACAAAGAAAAAGAACGATTTTACAAAGAGAATAAAGAAAAATTACAAAATGATTTTGAAACTTTTATGTCTGAACAAGATGCGTTAATTAATAATGAGGAGAAAATTTTGGAAGAGAAAAATGTGGAATTGAAAAATTTGGAAAATAGGATTGAGGAGATTAATACTAAGGCTCTTTTAAAGAAACAATACGCCGATCAAACTTACGAGAAATGTAACGAAATTGAGAGAGAGAATGTGCATTTATCGTCGGTTTTGAATAGGATGAAAATGGAGGTTGTAAATCCGCGAAGAGATGTAGCGCGGTCAAACCAACCGATGCAAAGAGGGATTTTGAAGAGTCCTAATGAAAATGTTGGGGGTGGTGGGAAAAAAGTTACTTTTGAGCCTGCGTTAGGGAATGCTTCTGTTACCAGTCAAGATAGTTTTGATCAGATGTTTAAGCAGTTTTTAGATACTGATAATGTTGAAGAACCTAAACCGGCTGGGGTAAAATTATTTTAATTGGATTATTTAACCTCTTTAGGGAGTGTACTTATTTACTATTTAATATATCTAAGACGATATATTAAGGCTCGGTTTTTTAAAGTTTTGATTAAGAGTTTAATGTGAAATTTTGAATGGGTTTTATAAATATCTCGTTCGCGCTCTATTATTAAGGATCTCTAATGTAGCGCCTCGACCGCAAACGATGTTGGCTACAAACTTTCCAGTGTAAGTTGTTTCCTGGCTGATGGATGCTCTGCCTTCACGCGATAAGAATGGTAACTTTTGTCTTAGGAAGGAAGGTTTGGTTTCATACTCGACATATCTAAGTCTCACCCATTGGCTATATTGGTTTCCCACTAATATGTCCTATCAAATATTAATCTGCCAATCCAAACAACTTCTCCTATGGGTAGTCCAATCGAGTTCCATCTCAGTCTACCAATTTGCAAATATTTTCAATACATAAGATAAAAGCCAAAATTGTTTGGACATGTAACCAAAGTGAAGATGAATGTGAAACGCAGTATCTCACCATTTCACACTTACACATATATAGACACATCATCAATGAGCTGCTGCAACCTAAATCAAATACCGTTATTAGTGAATATCAAACCAGTTATAGATGCGGAAGGTCCACAATTTACCAAATATACACAGTAAAACAGATCCTTAATGCCTAGAAACAAAATAAACATACATAATAACAAATCCCACACAAGCTGTCCCTGCCATCTCAATTAATACGTTTCGTAAAAGCTACAATGGAGAATACTGAAGCTAGGGTGCGAATAAATTATGAGCTAACACATCCTTTCACAATAACACGTGAACTGAAATAGGGGTATGGGATGACCACAACTCTATGCAACCTAACGTTTGAATTCATTTTAAGACAACTGTGCGGGTTGCATATGCAGACGATGTGAATATTATGAGTCGTACGAATGCAGGAGTAGAAGATGCACAAAGCTAGACTATCCTTGTGGACTTGTCGTAGTTTTTGTAGAAAAAATTGGGGTCTTACCTCTGAAAGACTGTACTGGCTCTATGTGACTGTGGTTAGACCTATGACATACGGAGCAGCATCCTGGTATAGGAAAGTCCGACAGACTTCAAGAATTCAACGGGCAGCTGGATTGGCAATTTCTGGTGCGATAAGCACAACGCCAACTCTAGCAATAGAGGTTCTGCTTGGCCTATCTCCTCTGCATTTGCATACAGAGAAAGTGGCTAGAGAAAGACCATTTACAGATTTAAGCAATATGCTCAAAACTGTTCCGACATGTCCTACCAATGGGCTGCGGAAGACATTATAAGCACTGATACTGTGCTATCAATGCCGTCAGATTTGGCGGGATCACTACCAATGATTAATGTTCGATACCAGATTGTGCTGCCTGAGCGGCAGTCCTGGATCGAAAATAAAAATTCTCTGGTTCAGGCAGATATTTGCATGTTCACAGATGGATCAAAAACGTCGGAAGGGGTCGGAGCAAGAGTATACTGCCAGACACCTCGAATTAAGCAAGCCTACAGCCTGGGTACGTACTGTATTTCAGGCGGAAGTATTTGCTATTGATATGGGTGCTAAAATCCTTCTTGAGAGAAGGGTGAAGAACATGACAGTATGAATTTTCTCCAGGTGCTGCAAGCCGTGAAAACGGTGTCGGCTCTGGTTAATGATTGCAAGAGAACATTAAACGCACTGAGATGTGGTAACAGAGTTTCTCTGATCTGGGTTCCGGGTCACTCTGGGGTTGCTGGCAATGAAGCGGCAGATGAGCTAGCACAAGAGGGCAGCGCTAAAGCGTTTGTGAGACCGGAACCAGCAGTTGGTTTATCATTTGCGATGGCTAAATATAGGATTGGACTGTGAGCTGAAGAAAGACTTCGCCTACTGTGAACCAGTTCTCCTGGAATGAGACATGCTAAGGTGTTTATTAACATTGCCACTGTCAAACCCGGGAACTTTTTAGAACTTGCTTTTAGCAGTATAAGAGTTCTAATGGGTGTCTTTACTGAGCATTGCCGATTAAAAGCACACCTCCACTTGTTGTGTTTAGCCGATGATGTTGAATGCCGACTATGTGCGAAGAAAGCAGAGACGGTTGAGCATGTTTTATGCCAATACCCTGCTGTTAACCGTATCAGATTCTCAATTTTTGGGTTACAATAGATCGTTAGGGTCGCGGTGCAAGGTTGGTTGGTCCGCCTACCCGATATGTAGTCTATTTAATGGAATGTAATGTAAGAAGATGCATACTCAAATAAGGTCAGTCAGGTCCATTCAAACACAGAATGTCATCATAGAGAATGATATTGAAAGGCTAAAAAGTTTTTATATTTGGGGCAATATTTAGGGATACCACGGAAGACATAGAAATAAGGAAATATACCAACTATTCAAAGATACCACTTTTTTCCGAATTGCTCAGAATACAACGGGCCTTACAACGAGACTTCTAAAAAAAACGCCTAATGCACGAATGCAGAGAAGGATACCTGTGGGTGAGCTACAGAAATGTCGAAAAGACGCAGTGAGTGATGATGGACGGAATCTTCTGGGCCTTCTAAGTTGAAGGAGAACAACATTGGGGGGGGAATGCAAGCTAAGGTCCTGGAAGAGGGCTCGAGCAACATTTTGCAAACATTTTTCTTTAAAACACTTCTTCATTTTCATTCAGTACACCCGCTGTTTGTTAATGTATACATAATATATATTATATATTTCATCACCATAATATACATTTTCTGTTAGTTAACTTTTATAAAACCCATTTTTGATTTACCATAACATTAATATTTGGCTTGAATCACATTTTTAATCAATTAACATTCGATTAAAGTTGATGCTGATTGAGCGTTTTAAAACCGAACTTAAAAATTAATTTTTGCGTATTAAAACTTACCCCACGAACTTCGTTGCGTAGTACAGTGCTATCCCTACAGAGGTTAATTAAAATAGTAGTTTTTAAAACATGTTCTTTTTTAGGAGTTGGTTGATTTAACAGCAGTTTCACCTCCACAAAAAGATAATTAATTTATTAATTAGTTAAGTTAAATGTTAATTTGTTATATTTAAATTAGTTTCAATTTAAGTTGTTTCGAACACAAAAATTACCAACATTTTGGTAGCGATATATAATCGGCTCTAATAATGTTACGGAAAGAGGCGTGCATTATTAAAGGTTTCCGAGGCGGTGAATAAACTCGGAAGGTGAAAATGGAGGTGTGGATACGTGCACAATTTCTCCATTTTTACCGGCCGTTGTTTATTTAGCCTTTCTCCAAGGTATATTAAAAAAAATCGTGTTTTTTATAAAAAATAATCGAATAAAATTATTTCCAGGTTAACGAATACTTTAATGTATTATTTATAAATTAACTGTTTTTACGAATGTATCAGGTGGTTTTAAACTTTTTTTTCCCCCCAAATTTGTGTACGTCACGTAATGTCCATCTTTCGAAGTCCCGGCAATTAAAGCGCCACGTAATGACATTCAACCTTAATCTTCTTCGGGTAATTAAGGGTGTCTGCGCTGATACCGCCACTGCTGGTGTATTATTAATATTAAATTAAGAGGCGTGTGGTTAATTATAGACCGCCTAATTTCATGAAATTTATATAAGAGTTAACACGCTGGTATATATTTGAACTTGAAGGTGTTTGAATTGTGATATGTAAATATAAAAAAAAATTGATATATTTGTATGTTAAATTGTAAAGTGTACGGAGTTATTTTCATCTTGTTCGTTTCTTGGAATACTTGGACTCAACACGTATCAAAAAACTTATGTTTGGTAGAAATGCTTAATTTTGAAGTGATTAATGTATTTAAATAGGTATTTACCTTATTTGATATATAAAAATAAATATATAATTTCTTTATTTTTTTTTTTCAGATTATGTTTCCTGTCCCATTGTGTGCTATTTCAATGCTGGAGGTAAATACACAAATAGGTAAGCATATTGATTAAACCATGACAACAAAAAAACGTGCGTGTTTACTTCATTTATGCAATAAGAGGGATTATGAAAATATATATATACCAATAATCATTGACAACTTTGTGATTCAGAGAGACTTGTAATTTAAGGTTGAAACGTTGATGTTTGACCTAACATTCTACTTAACTAAGCTTAATATAGTTGAGTGCAAATTTAATGCTAAGAATTGAAGAAAACAATACATACAGACTTGCACGACCAACACTCAATAATTTTTATATGACATTGACGTTCACAATTTATAAATGACTTGGAGATATCGGTATGAAGAACAAAGAAAAAGGGGAGGGAACTGTATGAAATAGATAGAGGTTATAGAAAGAAGAGGCAATAGAAGATGCAATATACAAAAATATATTTCCATAGAAACCAGGGCCTACCTACTTACTTTGTCCTACATAACATGAAACAAATCAATATAATTTGACATTACTGTACAATCTCGATATAACGGATCAATACGGGGAACGCCGTTATAGCTCAATAAAAATATACAACAATCTAGAATAACAAATAAAACTGGACTAACACTAGAACTAACACTATACCTATAACTAGAATCGTTTGGGTTTAGCCGCACGTCTGTAAAGACGGCTAAAGTTGCATTTAAAATCTAGTACTATTAAGCTATGTTGCATTTTATGTGGGACAGTTGCAAGTGCATTAGTTTCGTAACTATGGTCATATATTGCGAGTTATATGAAATTGCCGGTAGAAGTCTTGCAAATACTTTAAGCATTTGGATATTTGAATATTTGTTGCTAAACTGAAAAGTAAGAAATTAAAAAGAATAAAAATTTCAGTTTATGGATTATGTTAGCGTTTAATCCGTTAATAATATATCCGGTTTCACCAAATTCATCTTATAAATAACACGAGCCGAACGTCGTACCACATGTCACGAATTGGAAAACAACAAAAAAATATATAAATTCAAATTAGGAAAATCATTTAAACGGAATAACAATAAAAATTATAATAACTATTATAAATGCCTTAACAGATTAGATGAAGATGAGATAGCTAATATAAAAGATCAATTTTGGCAGAAACTAAATAAAATAGTTGAAGATGCAGCTGGAGATATTTTAATTCTATGAGATTATAATGCTCGAATTGGAGAAAGAAGTTCAAAATATGGAAATCTGATAGGAATCTTTGGAGGAAAGAAAAGAAATAGTTATGGAATGAGACTTTTAGATTTTTGTCTTATAAATCTTAATTACATAGTTATAGTTAATACATTTTAAAAATTTTTTGACCTAATCAGTTTATGTCTAATGCATAACGGATACTATTTCTATCAGCAAAAAAAGTATCAACTAAGCTAATAAACCGGTAGAATGCCGCCTTTAGGCAGAAATGTCTCCCAACTCTCTGGAAAGCAATAGAGGTCATTGTAATACCTAAATCAGGAAAATCACCTAACTACGTTACCTCATACAGACCAATTTCGTTGTTATCGGTAATGTCAAAGATAGTTGAACAATTAGTGCACAAAAGATTAATACAAATTTTGGAGGAAAACTTCACTCAACTACCCAACAAGTACATAGTCTTTAAAACATTGTTTTCTTTCTGAATGTTGCGCAAGCACAAGCACAAGCACAACTGTAGTTATGTAACTCCTCTCGGCATAATATACCATTCAGATTTTCTTTTACGAACATCAAACATTTATAAATGTGCAACGAGTAAACGGACATTATTTTTAATTTTATAAAAAGTGGCCTACAACTTTCTAGTTCATTAGCTTTGAATAGCGTTCTTACAACATTTTCTGAATTAAGAGTATACGCTCGGCTCCTGATGAACTTCCCCAAAACAGAATGCTATATGACATCACACTCTGGAAATTCGAGTAATTACCATCACTATTTGCAAATATGTTAGGCTTATAAGTGTTCTAAGTTGGTAAACTACTGAGCTAAGTTTCTTTCCTATTACGTTCACCTGTAGATTCCATTTCAAAGAGCTTTCAAACTGCAGCCCCAGTAATTTAACTGCCGAGACATTATTATTTGTTTTAGTACTAAAATCAATTTTTTGTGTCTTATTTTCATTCAGCTTAGGTTTGTTCGTTTTAAACCAATCTGCAGCAACCTTTTGACTGAAACCTTCATATTCGTGTAGCTCTTCAGCTTAACTAGATATATTTATCAATGTTGTGTCATCTGCATACATTATCGTCTTACACATGTTCAGAGTTTCCGGAAGATCGTTTACATATTAAAGGAATAAAATTGGTCCCAAGATACACCGATTTCCACACTTCTCAAGGTCGATCTATTATTTCCAACTTGGACCACTTGTCTTCGATTTTCTAGGTACGATTGAAACACTGTTATCGTGGGGTGTCTGATGCCATAATATTCCAGTTTCTTTAACAGTATCTTAATTTTTTTTGACTCATTAAAACCATTAATAATTTACTTATGTAGATCAATTAGAGCTTTAGTTGTGGAGGATTTCCTTTCATAGCCATATTGATGCTTACTGAAAACATCTTTCTTGTACAAATAGTCAAGAAGACACGATTTCAACAGATGCTCAAAAAGTTTTGACATTATTAGTAAGATAGCTATTTATAGATTGGTCGAAAATTGTTAGGATCATTTACATCACTTTTCTTGTATATGGGAGATATTCTCGCAATTTTTAGATCATTAGGGAAAATGAACTGTTGAATACATTTGTTGATAACAATATTTAATTGTTCAACAATGATGTAGCAATAAATTTTAAAATACTCGTTGACATACCATAATAACGTTCTGAGTAACTATTATTGAGTTGCATTATAGTATTAAATATCTCTAATTCATTCGTAGAACCAGTACAAACGAGTTCACCTTCGATTTTACACAGTTCATGTAATCATTGGGCTATTTGGACCACCACTCATCAATACGTGTGAAAAAGATGCTCAATTCTTCTGCCATTACATCAGATTTTATTTTTTGTTTTGAACATAAGTTTATGTTCCCCTTGATTATCTGCCAGGTCGCTTTAGGTTTATTTCTGGCATTCATAATGTAGTTTGCATTATACTTTTGTTTAGTTTTCATTAATTCATATCTGTATTCCGTTCTATACTTTTTATAGATATCATATATATGATTCAGTTATTTTTGATGCTTTAGCAGTTGTATCAAGTATATCCAGTTTTTCCTTCATAGAATGTAGCCTTTTGTTAAACCACGGTAGTGACCTAGATGGATTCGCCTGTTGTTTTAAAGGAAAATATTCATTATAATGAAATCTGTAGATATTAAAAAAAACAGTAAAAGCTTCTTGTGCGGATAGTGTAAAAACTAGAACTAACACTAGACCTAGAACTAGAAACTGTCGGGTTTAGTTCTAGGTGTAGTGTTAGTTCTAGTTTTAGCAGCTTGCAATAAAAATATGCAACATAGTGATATCTTATACTAACTAGCGCTACCTACCACTGTCACTAGAACTAACATTAGACCTAGAACTAGANCACCCTTGGCAAGTAATTTTAAAAGATGGCTTGTTTAGTCAAGTTTCCAAAATGGTGCAACACTTGCCATTTGTCTTTCCATAAAAAATATTATTGTCTGTTTTTCTGCAAAAAACACGTTATTTAAAAAATTCATACTTTTGTGTGCTATTTGTATTTACTCTTTATTTCCTCTTACTATAATAAGTACGATAATGCTAGTATGTGCTAGTGTTAGTTTTAGTGCAATAAAAATATGCAACATAGTGATATCTTATGCAAACTAGCGCTACCCACCACTGTCACTAGAACTAATATTAGACCTAGAACTAGAAACATTCGGGTTTAGCTGCACGTCATTCAAGACGGTCAAATCTGAATGTTTTTTGTAGTTGGCGAAAGTGTGTGGAGTGGACCTATGATATTCAGCTAACATTCTCATCAGAATCATTAAGCAGTCAACTATAGAAAAAGTTTCATACACAAAATATATATGACACATTTTTTATTGCAAAAATAACTACAAGATCTAAGAACAAAATTGATAGGCAATTATGTTGTCATTATATTGACAATTTGTTGCTGATGAATAGTTTCTTCCTAAAGGCTCGTCCATGCAAATCCTGCTCTCTCTCCTGAAACTTTGTTACATGGTTTCCATGTTCTTAAATTTTTAATTAACGTTCGAATTTTTAACAGCGACGTAATTCGATACTTTCATGTTTTCCAAAAGGACGCGAACAAAATAAAACGGGGTCGCTCTTTTTTTAATTAGCACGAACCGCAAAGACGTCGGCAATAAATCGAAGTTAAAAACGCGGCCCCACTTAATTGTGATTAATTCAGACGAGAATAGTGTAATTTTTAATTGGCGCTTGTAAAAATTCGTCGGCGAGATAATTTATATGGTAATTTCGGTACTTTTTTTTACATAATCAGACCGGCGAAAATAATTTAATGCTGAATTACTCGAGTTAATTAAATTATTTTTTTATTGGTGTACTTGGAGATACATTTACCTAGTATTTATGCAACCCCTAACGCGCGCGCCGCACAAAACTTTATTCCTTTGTAAAAGAGGGTGAACTTACTAGAAATCTGTTTAATTTTTTTTTTCAGGAGGAACGAAAGCTCGATGAGGGGTTGATTTTTCCACTACTTTCCGTTAGAGGGCGCTGTTTACGCAGAAAAAAGCTCAAGATATAAATTGGTGAGTATTTATATATATTTTTTTTAATATTAAGTTTATCTACTTACTTATCTTAAGTAGTCCTTTTTTTGTTTCAATTTTAACCGATAAAATCCGCGTAACATCGGA